TGTGTGGCTCGTCCTGTCCTTGTAGCTTTGGTCATGGCCTCTGTGGGAATGTAATTTTCAGACATTTCTCTAGGACCTGCTGTGTGTCAGGTGTGGGAGTCGGGCAGGAGTAAAACAGGAACAAATTACTATTTCTGCTCTTCGAGGTGATTGAACTATTTAACCACTGCACTGACCAGTCAGAACGGATGCCGGGGAGAGCCCTGTCCATGGTGGCCTCATGCTGGGGTGGGTGGACATTCATTGCTTAGTGGTTGGATAGTGAAGAGGTCTGAGGGCAAATGATAGGAAGGGTACGAAGAGCTGTAGTCATTTTCCAGATGGTGAGGAGGCCTTTAAATATTGCTACCCTGGTATACAGCAGTGGCTGTCCCATGGTCACTCTTCTTGTTCTCAGACACGCTCCCCCACATGAAGATGGGGAGGCCTCTGACCATTGTCATCCTGGCCCCTGACTAGCACCCCGAGCTTGCTCTCCATCCTGCTCTTGGGATTCTCTTGGCTGATTTTCTGTTAGACTCTTATAGGCTCCTGGCTGAGAAGTAGTCCATTGGTGAGGGCACAGAGCCCTGGCTGCCCCTGACAGCTTTCCAGGTGTGTGGACGGTTGCATCCAGAGTCCCTTTTGTCAGGGGCTAGGAGACAGCATCTAGGGACTCTCCAATAGAACTGGCAACAGCCAGACCTCGCAGCTCAGGTGGACTAGCCAGGGTGGTAGGCATTAGACATGTGGGCTGGGGCCCCTAGAATTTCCCTGACCTCTCCATGTGGACGTGTAGATGGGTAGAGTTGAGGAAGAAGAGGAGGCTTTTAGTGAGGATCTTGTTTTCTTTCTTCATTTGAGAATATCTGACTTTCCTCCCTGGACAGGAGACCAAATGTGGTTCCAAAGCGAGGTTTCTTTCACAGGGTCTGTGGTTAACTGTCCCCACCACTTGTTACTGATCTCCTGCCAGGCCCGGGTATCACCGCTGGTGCAGGTTGGGAGGGGAGAGAGATGGAATTCTTAGCACCTAGCTATATTAGGAGGTTGGACCCGGGGTTCTGGAGGTGACCTTTGGTGGTTTGTATGGCATGGTTCTCTTGCTGGTTTTGTGCTGGCTCTGGGGCGGGGGCGGGGGAGGGGCCACTACAAATCCAAATTTCCTCTGCCTCCAAGCTGTCAGCTTGCTCTGCTCTGGCCTTTCTCCTTCCCTATTCTCACCAATGGCCAACTTTCTGGGAAAGAATGAAGGAGGCTGAGCTCGCCCACCCAGGAGCAGAGGGGTTCCAGGGAGCAGTCTCCTCTGCTGGGTGCACTAACCCGCCCAAGGCCCTTCTACAAGGGCTCCCAGCCACTGGCCTAGACCCGGCAGGGCAGCAGCCGCCTGTTTAGTGCTGCTGTTTTTATAAGCTAATGAGGGCAGAGTGTGAGCCACAGGCGATGATGCTGGGATATTAACTGTGACAGGAAGCTTGATCATAATTATCTTAACGAGGATAGGGTTAATTACAGTGGAAACTTAAAAGTTCTCTCTGTTTGAATCCACTGGAGCCGAATGCATTGTGATGTTTTGTCATTTTTGATGTGACTTTGGAAAAGGCCCTGGGACTCTCGGCAGCCCAGCCACAGCGCGGCTCCTGGGGGAGCCTAGGCAGAGCCCTGCAAACTGAGATGGTACCTGTGGGATAGATCACGGCAGCTCTCCTCCCCGTGGAGCGGGAGGCGGGGGGCAGGCGATGAGCTCTGGAGGTGCTGATTAAGTTTCCAGAGCAAACCACCTGCCACAGGGTGGACCCTGCTCTCCTTCTCCCTGCCTGCTCTTGGCGGCTCCTTACCAGGCTGGGAAGCGCTGTCTCCAGCTGGCTTCCCTGAGGAGTGGGTAAAACCTGGCTGGTCCCCTCACACCTACGACATCACAGCCTCTGCTAGGGAAGCTGGAAAATAACCCTGGATGACAGTCACCCATTCACCAGGGCTCTCATTTGGAGGTGTATTTTGCTGTCCACATACAAGGTTATAGCAGAGAAATTGCAGTCCTGTCCTCATTTTGCCTATTGCTGTCCCATCAAACAGCACAGGCCAGTGTGGCTCTCTCAAACCTTTTCTGCCTTGTCATTTCACTTAACAGAGCATATCTGTTTGTGGATATCTGGCGTATAGGGGTCTGAACTTAAAGATGGTTGCAAATAATTTATTTCTCTTACTTCTTTCTGGAAAACAACAAAAACAATAACATATTTTTTTTTAAGTGAAAAATAAAGCCATCTTCCGGATGTACGCTTATTTGGCCTCCACATGCCAGGCAAGCCCCACAAAACCTCTCCTCCCTGTCTTCCCCTTCACAGAGCTGTGTTCTCTCTCCTCAGTCCCTCAGCTCTGAATTCAGCTGGTTCAATCACCAAGGGCATGCTATCCCATGACATGAAAACAGGGATTTATTAATTAGCAGTCGCCCATGCACACAGTTCCCTTTTTACTGAGCAGCTAATAACCCTACATGGCAAAAAGACTCTGAGACAGGTGATTTGAGATGGATTCTCCTGGCTCCTCTCACTGCAGTAGGAATGCCGCCCCAGAGAACCCTGCTCTCCCTACAGAGGTTGTCTCTGTGGGGGTAGGCACCCCGCTAGTGTGTCCTGTTTGTCCCTCTTCATGCTATGTCATTTTGTTTTATGCCTCCCCCGAAGCACTTTTGGAAGGGAGCTTTCTTCTGCTTGCCAGTTGCCAACCATTTGCTGATTCTCATGATAAAAGTATAATATTTGCATAACATAACTCAGGAACAATGTGCATTTGGATGCTGCCTTTGACCAGAGCCCAGCTGATGTTTGTGCACAAAAGACTTATTAGCTCCCCATAAGGCTGCCTGACTGGAGCAGCTCTGCTCCCCACTCCCCTCCCTGGCAAACATGGGCCTGGTCCTGAGAAGCACTTTTGGTTAATGAGCATCACTCATTGACCCCTGTGGAGGGAGGGACTTCAGAAGACCCCAAAGGTCCCCTACACACCTCTATGGTTTTGTCCATCTGCCCACCCCCTGTGTCCCCAACACATCCCCAAGCTCAGATCCTGGGGGGGAAAATCAATGCATCAAAGAGGGAAGGAAAAGAAAGGAATCAGCCTTTGCTAGTAACTTGTCAGTGCCCTTAGTCTCTGTATGATCCTCTGCGCTGGAAGGAACAGAGTGCACAGTTCAGAACTGATCTCAGGGTGCTCAGATTCACACTGCAAGGACGTGGAGGAACTGAGGCAAAGCCCTAAAACTTCCTGCTTAGATGTGTCAGTGTTTTGCCTCCTGGAACCATGAGGAAAAGGGAACAGAGGAGCAGGAAATGAAATCTGAAGACCCTTAGCCCAACACATGTGCAGCCCTGTCCTTCCACATCGAGTGGGCAGTGTTGGCTGTCAGAGGAGGCGCGCTCTGGGTGTTGGCCCCCCCCCAGGGGGGGGGCAGGACCACCCTGAGGACTGGCAGAAACAGGCCTGCAGGAGCTCTGGGCCCAGTGGCATCTGCAGATTTAATTACTTACAATGCATTTTATACCTTGCAAGTATCGACTCCCTGCTTTGGAGACTTCTTGGCAGAGGTAACCATGAGGGAGAACTGGATGCTTCAGGAAAGCCCTGGTGCTGAACTTCACACATGCTGTATACACACATTTGCACACGCAAGCATGCAGCACAGTAATGGAGGTGCTATCAGTAAATGAATAAATAGTGTGGACGACATCTTCCTGATTCGTCACATTTTATAGAGTAGCCAGAGATCCCATGCGAGTCCTCCCTCAGATAGACGTCGTAGCTCAGCTGTCAGCCTGTGCAAGCTCAGCACATATCCTGGGTCTGGCAGGTGAACGAGCTGGGAGTTTGTGTCTGCGTAAGTCTCTGTACTGGGCGGCTTTCTTTAATTAATGTCTGTGCACATCCAAGCAAGTGCTTGTGCAAAACTGCCCCCGTGTCCCGTCCACCCTGACCTCTTGTCTTGTGATGGGCACTCACGAGAGCCCATCAGATGAAGAGTTAACTTTCAGCTGTGTGTATAAGCAAAGCCGTTTTTCCCTTTCTGATACATGATTTCGCCCCCCTGAGCTGGGTCCTTAATCCTTTTAGATGCCTTTTATTTACTGCCTCAACATCTCCATTGCTAGGTCTACCCTTATTTTTTTTTCCCCCTTGCTTTTCAAAAATAAAGTGAGAAATTCACGTTCCATAAATTAAAACACTAACTTCAGGTCAAGAGCTTTTGAAGCAAAAAAAAGAAAATTCTCTCAACCCTCCTCCTCCCAACAAAACCCAAAACAAATAAAAAGAAATAATGAAAGAAAAAGAAAAGGCTCTCTCAGGCTGGAGCGATTATGTAATTCCACAGATGCCTTGCCTTTTGGGCAACCATGGGGACACTGGGCAGAAGCAAATTAAGTGATTAGTGAAGAAAAAAAGGCAGAGGGAGGGGAAAAAAGTGAAAGGATATGAAAGGAAAGAAAAGAAGCCCTCCTTGCCATTTCCCCTGCGACCGTCCAGAGGAGAACCGCTAAGAAATGATACTTGAAGTTATATTTATTATTGTAAGAGGGGTATGATATTTCTAGGCAGGAATGATGGATGACAACTTAAATTTGTGTCCAGGGAATGAAGGTGAACTGTGACAGAGTTATTTATCTTGGGAATGGAGGTTAGGGTCAGCCGAGGCTGGGTGCCTGAAGGCACAAGACATTGACAAATTTATCCTGCAGGCCGTATCTGAAGCCCTTTGTTTTGGATCCTGGCTACTCACTAAGTGACCCTCATCCTTCATGTTGGCAATGCGTGAAGGATGCGGTGAGTGCCAGCGGCCCCTTCTCCCCCCGCCGCCCCCACCCCGGCTCCCACTACTAATTCTTGTCATTCACTTTGCTGACAGGCACCAAGCCCAAACTATTCCCAGTCCTGAAAGGGAAGGTTAAAATATTTATTTCGGCTCATAATGGCCTCCCTGATTTAGTGCAGGATCATTTTTCCTGTTGCCTTTGTCATTGCAGGTCACTGGAAGGACTGAGCGCATTCAGGAGCCTGGAGGAACTCATCTTGGACAACAATCTGCTGGGGGATGACCTGGTGTTGCCAGGGTTACCCCAGCTCCACACCTTAACCCTCAACAAGAACCAAATATCCTTTCCTCTGCCTGTCGCCCCCACTCCTTGCCGCCCCCCACTCCCCGCCCAGCCCCACAGTGGTCCCCTCCCGCCCGCCTCCCCCCCCACCACCAAATACCTGCAAAATGTCAAATGAGTTTTATGTGTCAGCTAAATTAAAGTATGTGAAATACAGTCCATGGGCAGACACAGCGTTCTGTCTTCTGGCACCCGGGACACTTCAGAGTAATTTATTATAGGTCATTCATAAATGAAATGCACCATTATATCTTCCTGTTGCTCCATTTTAGTGTAGAGATCTAAGTTATGGCTGCGAAGAAATCTTTTTAATAGATAAAAATAGAGAAAGAAAATAATGTCACTGCTGCGGAGGAGGCGAAGCTGGTCGGGTTGGCTTGGGCTTGTGTGGGATAGCGACCTCTGGTGGGAAGTGGGAGGTAATGCCGCTAAGCAAACTTGGCCTTCTGGGTTTCTGGAAGGCTCTGGTGCAGGCAGGAGTAACAGTTCTGGTAAGAAAAAGGAGAGGAGCAAGAGCTGAGGTGGAAGAGAGTTATGACAGTCAGGCCTGGCTCTGTGCTCCCAGGTGTGTACCTCACTGGTTTGTGATAGGGACCTAGGAGCGCCATTGGGTCACGCTTCCCCTGAGTAGGTGCCCATTACAGACAGACTCGCAGGGGACTTACCCGCACTGGATTCTGCAGTGAGAACAGAATCCCGGGAATTTTTTCTGAGACACAAGCCACATAACTCCTTTGTTGTTAGAGTTATGGATTATCATGCACTAGAATGCCAACCCCACAAGGCAGGGAATTCTCTCCATCCTTCACACATAGAATACTGCCTGTCACAGAGTACAAGTTCCATAAATATTTGTGGGATGAACGAATGAGTCATTACCGCTAACTTTTCATTAGTGAACACTCCCAGGCATCAGGCTCTATGCTACGTCCTTTAAGTATATATTTTTTTCATTCTTATAAAAGCCCTGTGAGGAGGGTGCAGTTTTTCCATTTATCTAGAAATGGAGAGAGGTGCAGTATAGACCTCCACCCCCACCCTTGTCAGACAGTTAACAAGATGCTAGGCCCTAGATTCCATCTCAGATTGTGGTTGTAGTCAGAGTTCTTTCTGTTCTCTGTGGCTCCAGAGTTGAAGTTCAATTGCCTTGTTTAACTGAGAGAACATTTGAAACGTGGAGTAGTTAAATCACTTGTTCACATTCATGTGATAAGGTAGAAATAGAAAAGAAACCAGGGCATTTCCTACTAGATTGTAAAATAAAGGCAGATATACCTGTTAAGTTTGACTTGTATGCTTATGTCAGCATTTAAAGATATTTTGCAAAGCATTTATTAGCCATTGACTATTCTTCAAGCCATAAGTTAATATTTTCTTTATTTTGTATTGTCTTCATTTGCCCTTGCTGCTGTGACAGAATCCTGTTGAGTAGAACAATGAGCGTTTATTTCTCATAGTCTGAAAGCTGGAGGTTAGTATTTCAACATTCCAATTTGGGGAGACACAAACATTCATAGCTTAGCAAGTATGCATCTCGCGGCCATTATTAATGGCAACTCTAATAGAGAAGTGGAAGGCCTCTAAGTAAATTCAGTCTGGGTCACAATGACGTATCTGGTGGGGGGTTTCCCTCTTCTACCCTCTGGTCAATCAGGTTTCCTAGTCATTGTTTGAAAACTTATTACAGCTTATAAAACTTACTACAGCTTATAAAACATTTATAGCTAGTGTGTCCTGTGGCTTCCTTAGTGGTCTTAGGAGATCATATGGATGATATTCTCAAATCAGTCAAGGAGAGAAAGAAAGATTATTAGACTAGAATTTGTATGATATGGTTCATCCCCTGGGTCCCAAGACTCATTTCCTGTGGCTCATGTCACTGGTGAAAAGCAGAGTCCACAGACTTGGGGTCATGGGTCAGTGTAATCATATTTAGCTGTGTGGCCTTGGACAAGTCATTCTCTGTGACCTCTGTTCTTATTTTTTAAGGAATTAAGTTGAATTGAATGATGGTTTTATTCTTGGTATTGTAGACACCAGAGATTGGTGAGCCTCTTGGATCCCCAGCATTGAGAGATTATCTTTTACGTTTGGTTGGGCCCTTTCCCTACTCCATGTATCATTTTCCACATCATGTAGCATGATGCTGAGAGAGTAATAGAATGGCTGGGAGGGGCTGTAGAAGAAGATGCCACGAAGCTATAAACATGACTAGGTATGTCATTGTGCTATTGTGGTGCACTTTATTATCAGTAGATACAGAAGCCAAGGGTTGGCTCTCTCAGGATGCAGCATGAATTCTTTCCTTTTTTCTTCTCTGGTCTGTTGGACCAGAGTTTCATGAATATGAGATTCCCCATCTGCTTGATCCAAAAGTCACAGAATGAAAGACAGGTAAGTGCAGGCAACATCATATGTCATCCTCTTAGTCTAACATTTCTGACTCCATATTTTCAGCCCTCTAACTCTCTTATCTAATTGGGAAAATGCCCCAGGTTCTCAAACAATTATTAGGTTCCATTTTTCTGTTGCTTCCCCATGAAATAGCTTATATATGGGCTTTTGCTACATAATAATCCACCCCAAAACTTAAGGGATTACAACAACAAATGTTTTGTTTGCAATTCTATGGGTCAACTAATTGGCTAGGGCTCAGCTGGATGGTTCTTCTGCTGGTCTTACTTTGGATAACTCATGTCACCACCATGATTTGAGACTGTTGGAATGGATGGGCGAAATGGTTTTACCCATATGTCTGGAAATGGGTGCAGGCTGTTGGCTGAACTGCTTATCTCTAACAGGCTGCCTGACCCACGTCACAGGAGAGGAGGATTCCAGCATAATGTCTGGGGTACAAGTACTTTGCAAGTATTTGTATTATGAAAGCAAATGTAGAACAAATGTGGGTATAGAGAGGCACAGCTCATTCCCGTAGCAATTTTCTATACTGGCATTTCATCTCCTTTAAGATTTTAGCTTCATTTTTGTCATGAAGGGCACCAAACCAATTAACTATTGACCTCCGAAAAGGCTAAGTATTAGCTTTTTCTTGTGAATTGAATCTTTCCGCACATTAGCAATCTTGCTAGCAAATGATATTTTTTCTTTTAAATTCGTTTGTGAAATTTATTTTATTCTTATTTTTTATTTTTTGGTTTTGGCATCTGTAGAATGGTTTTTTTTGCCCTCCCTAATTAATCTGAGTTATAAATCAAGATTTTTCCATTTTGATTTTATTCACTTTTAACTATGTCTAAAGAATGCTCTGTTTACTATGCTCTGGAAACTTGGGTTGTTGGCTTCCTTTTTCCTTTAGCAGGTGGAACTGTCTCATAGTATTTAAGAACAGGCTTGGAGGCCAGTCTTCCTGCTCTTGTACCTCAAGTCTGCCACTTGCTGCATGACCTTGGGCAAGTTACATAACATCTCTGTGCTTTGATTTCCTCTACAAAGTGAGGAAAATAATAGTACCCACCCCATAGGTTTTTGTAAGAGAATTCTAAATATCTAACCAACATTAAGTGCCAGTAACATAGTAAATGTGTGTATATTGCTACCACTATCCTAGGGAACTGTGTGAACTTATCTGACTTGGTCCCCATTATAATCAAGGCCAGAATACATTTGTTTGACTTTTATAATTTAATATTACCTTAATATTCTACGAATTGGGCACCATTTTTCTTGTTTTTGATGAAAAAAGCTAGGAGTGTAAGCTTTTGGATGTCATGTAGATTGTCAAAGGTGGGGTTCAGTCTAGAACTCAGGTATGCTGATTTCTAGCCCCAAAGTCTGAAACTCAGGGAGGCAGTCACTGCACAAAGAGAGGGACTTAGATGTGTCCGTTGCCTGTGCCTACCATGGTAAGGCCCTGCTCCAGCTAGGTCTGAGGAATTCTGCTCATGAAAGAGATCCCAGAGCCCACACTTAGTAGCACCAATCAACTCCTCCCACCCGATCTGTGTACCTTCTGCTTGACCTCTCATATTTGTTATATCTCCCCTCTGTTCCACTTTTGTTTAGCTCTCAGCTTTGGTATCTTGCCTGGAATCTCTGAAAGCCTGGTTGTCTCAGGTAAGCTCTTTGTTTCTTGCTTTGAGCTGTCTCACCTTTGGTTCATTTAGAATGGCCAGGTAGTTACTGGCCATGAATCCTTCTCTCGGCCCTTATATTTTCACCTCTCTCTCCTACCATCAGCGTGCACACACTATCCAAGACTCTCCCAACATATCATAAATGAATGTCAACCATATCATAAATGAATATTCAACCACAAGTAAGGGACCAAATGAAAAAAAAATCTGAAAACATACATCTTTAATTTTTACACAATCCAATGTTCTCCCTGGTCTTCCCTTTGAGGATTACACTGACATCATCTGAAATCACATTCATTTTGTGATTCCCTGTTTGCTTTAGTACATTGTCTGAAGAGACAACAGGGTTTGAATTGTAGCACTGGATGGAACAAAGAATGCTACACGTTACACAGCTGGGCTGTGGTGAGCAGACCATTGCATGAGTCAGAAGACAGGCCTGAGCTCTGACAGCAATTTGCTGTCCTCTTGGGGGAAGTCTCAGTGCCTTGTCAGGAGCCTTGGTTTCTTTATAAAATGGGTAATATAATATGTACTTCAGAGTATTGTTGAGAAATTTAAATGATATAGTTATATGGGAAGCCGCTTTGTGAACACCCAAAGATTTCATAACTTCTTATTACATTTTACTGTTGGTTAAATCTTCAGTGCTTTAAAAACTGAGCCTATATTGAAAGTAATCTAAGGTACAGAGCATAGCTGGATGACAGCACATCGTGGTTTCCCCCAGAAACATATAAGACTCTTTAATTTTTGTGTTAGGAAATCATGAGTCCTGTTTTCCCCTAGAATGCAGTTTCTTTAGGATCTAAGTTTGAATCCAGATTCTGCCACTTATTGGCTATGACCTGTAACCCATTCCCTTCATTGTTATTTGGATGTGATAAGGACTGCTGCT